ATATAAAAAATAAAAATATTTTTGAATAATGTCTAGAAAAATAATATCCTACAGTAACTAATGATGAATTGAATAATAATTAATCTTCTGCTTATTAATAGTTCCAAACAAAATGAAAAACTCCAAAACTCCAATGATCAAGGCGCATCCAATGARCAAGGTAAGATTATTATCACTTCAACCAAAACGAATATTCACATCTGATTTCTAATGATTTTCTTCAACAGATCTTGAAGATTATATTCATCACCTAYAGCCATAAACTTCTTTGACTTTGAGCTCCAAACTTCACAAGAAAAGAAACGCCTTGTCTGTTATAGTCCAAATAAAAGGGTCAATGTCCATCAAGCTTTCGAAAAACGATCACCAATTAAGATTACTGGAATCAAGAAAAACTCATCAAAAAGATTCCTATCAGACATTGAAGAATATACAGTTCCGAAATCTGCAAAGATTCAGTCAACATCTCTAGTATTCCCATACAATAGCGAAATAGACAATCGACTCCATACTTGTGAAGAAGCCCTCGAAGCAAATATCTACAAAAAGGTCGATCTTAAAGTAAAMGTTTTTACCAAACAAGAACACAAGCAACCTGTTGTTAAAAATGGAAAAACTTCATACAAGTCTGACTGCATTGTATCAGATTCCACTGAATCAATTAAAGTAGTACTGTGGGAGCAAGCCATAGAACAGGTTGAAACAGGAAAAAGTWACCATTTCCAAAATCTCACAATAAGATGTTTTGATGACACAAAATTTGTAAATACAAATGATATTGCTGATGCTGAAGTCAACACTTCAGATCTGGAAGACCACCACATCACTGGCAGAATTATAGCTGCTAATGTAAAGAGCTCTGAGTGATGTATTGTTTGTAACCATATTATGTCTATCCACAAAAAACAAAAACAAAAAAACAAAGCGAAGATGACATGATTGAATGTCCAAATTGTAAAATGTCAATCCTGACCTCAGTTGTCTGCACAGAATTGGTATGTCAGCTCATGATTAAGACATCAACAGCAATGACCAGCTACACAGCATTTAATGATGCTATTCAAACATATCTGCACAAGATTAAGCACCCTACACCATTGGAAGAAATCGAAAACAAAGACCCTGAGAGTCTTCTCTTACATGCAGGTGAACAAAGCATGATAGTGGATAAAGAAAATCAAGAAAATTCCTCAATTTCTTTGAAGATTTTCAATCAAAAGAACACTATCAATAATTTAATATTGTTGTATTTTTATTCTTTATATAGTTTAAGTTTAT